TTACACACCCAGCACTGGGGGGAGGGTACATTACACACCCAGCACTGCAGGGAGGATGCATTACACACCCAACACTGGGGGGAGGGCATATTACACACCCAGCACTGGGGGGAGGGTATATTACACACCCAGCACTGGGGAGAGGATACATTACACACCCAGCACTGGGGGGAGGGTACATTACACACCCAGCACTGGGGGGAGGGTACATTACACACCCAGCACTGAGGGGAGGGTATATTACACACCCAGCACTGGGGGAAGGATGCATTACACACCCAGCACTGGGGGGAGGGTGTATTACACACCCAGCACTGGGAGAGGTACATTACACCCTAGCACGGGGGTGGGGGGGAGGTGGAAGGGTAAATTACACACCCAGCACTGGGGGGAGGGTAAATTACACACCCAGCACTGGGGAGAGGGTACATTACACACCCAGCACTGGGGAGAGGGTACATTACATACCCAGCACTGGTGGTGGGCAGACATACATTACACACCCAACAATGGGGGAGTGTACATTACACACCCAACACTGGAGGGGGGGATACATTACACACCCAACACTGGGGGGGATACATTGCACACCCAGAACTGGGAGACGGTTCATTACACACCCAACACTGGTTTGAGATATTGCAAACCCAACTCTGGGAGATTATTTATTGTACACCTAACTCTATAAGATTTATACCTATCTGCGTAAGATCTATTTTACACAATTCAGTACCCTCCTGCAATCTCCCAAGATCGAATAGGAGTTCAGAGGGTTATGCTGTACAGTTTACGAAGATACACACAGAGGGGATTGTTCCTGATTGTATTTGCTGTGAGGGAGATGTTAATTGCTGATTGCCAACGATGACTGAATTGCCTTCATTATACTCAGTGTAACAGGAATTGCACAGGCTGTGGTGAATCAGGCATGGTATGAAATTCTTTCTCAATCGTTCCAGCAGGGAATGTTTCTCATCTCAGTTTCTGTATTTGCTGACATCCCCTGGGCCAGAACCCAGTGGTGGGTTGGTTTTCAAAATGACAATTGCAGAATTTCTTGAAGGATCCTCACAGGTTTTAATTTTGGAGCCAGGTCACACATTCACTGCTGATTAACACTCCTTAAGTTCCTCCAGTCTCCAAGGGCCCAAACATACTTTCCAGGTGAAGCAACACTTCACCTGCACTTCACAGAAGCTAGTCTACTGCATTCACTGCTCACAATGTGGTCTCCACGACACTGGGGAAACGAAGCGTAGACTTGGTGACTGCTTTGCAGAACATCTACGTTCTGCTCACAAAAAAGACCCTGAACTACCTGTTGCCTGCCACTTCAATGCACCACCCTGCTCCCTGGCCAACATCTCTGTCTCTGGCTTGCTACAGTGTACCAGTGAAGTCCAACGCAAACTGGAGGAACAACACCTCATTTTCCGCTTGGGGACCCTACAGCCCTCCGGACTCAATATTGAGTTCAATAATTTTAGGGCCTAAACTCTCCCATGTCCCAGCCCCCGACCCCACACACCAGGCCTTGTTACCACGTGGCCTGCCACTACACACCCCGCTGTTGTTAGTCACTAACAGTCCCCATTAACAACTATTCACCCTCCCAACCTGATCGTTAGCAACTCCTTTGTCTGTCCAACTGTCTTTCTCTCTCTTTGGGCTCTATCCTATCGTTTACTCCCTGCCCCACCCACCTCCCTATTTTCTGCACATAAACTGACGTTTTCCCAGCCACCATCAGTTCTGAGGAAGGGTCACCCGACCCGAAACTCTGTTTTCTCCTTCACAGATGCTACCAGACCTGCTGAGCTTTTCCAGAAACTTTGTTTTTGTTTAAGTTCCTACAAGATCTTTTGGTGCAAGGGGCTGGTAACCCAATCTCTGAGGTGGAAGCTCCTTACTCGAGTTCCACACTGGAACCATGGGAAAACAAGTCAGAGATCTACCTGCAAGTCTTGCCAACATGTGCCAATAGGAGGTGGTTAGAGTGGAATAGTGTCCTCGTCAGCCATAGAAAGAACTTTGGAACCTCTTATAATCACTATCCATTGCTCCAGGCTACAACATGGTAGGAAAACTACAACAACAGTTCCTGACTGAATTGTTCCATGTTATATTCTAAGCGGAGCTTATACTTACATATGTACAAACATACTTATTAAGGGACCTGTCTGTTCTCAAAATACCATTTTCTTTTCCCACTGAGCCCTAACATATTTCAGGGCAAAGCTGTTGGTTTTATCGTGGGGTTCAAATATACCTCCCTGCAATTGGAAACACCTCTATGGGGCTGACTAGCACATACATGCACTGATCAGTACCTTCTTCTGCTCCCTCACTGTTCCTGTTTTTCCACCTCCATCAGCATCTATTAATTACATTTAAAGGAAACATGGGATCTGGGCTAGCATTGTGGAACTTTTCTGGGATTTGAGTTCCTGACTCCTCAATGAAAACTCAATTTCCTGTCTCTCTATCATCATCCTGTTTTATAAATCTTCAAGTTCTCTGCACTGCTTCAAACTTGGCCTCTTGGCCATCCTTGGTTTTAATGATTCTACCACTGGTGGCCGGGCCTTCAGCTGCTCAAGCCCTCAAATTTAGCAGGCCAACGATAAACCTTTCCGTTGCATTGCCTCACGTCCTTGCTTTGAGTCACTCCTGAAAATCTGCCTTTTTGACTAAACATTTTGTGACCTGTTATAATTCTCCTGATGTTTTTATATGTTAAATGAGCTACGCAAGTTATTGTTGGTGTAATGCACAATTAAAATTCACAAAATGCAAGTTTTTAGGTGTGCTGAGAACTTTCTACTTTTCACGAGTGTCAATGTTTACATTTAGCTAAGACAACAAGGTGCAGAGCTGGATGAACACAACAGGCCAAGCAGCATCATAGGAGCAGAAAGGCTGACATTTCGGGCCTAGACCCTTCATCAGAAATGGGGGAGGGGAAGGGGATTCTGAAATAAATAGGGAGAGAGGGGGAGGCGGATAGAAGATGGATAGAGGAGAGGATAGGTGGAGAGGAAACAGACAGGTCGAAGAGGCGGGGATGGAGCCAGTAAAGGTGAGTGTAGGTGGGGACTTAGGGAGGGGATAGGTCAGTCCAGGGAGGACAGACAGGTCAAGGGGGCGGGATGAGGTTGGTCGGTAGGAGATGGGGGTGGGGCTTGAGGTGGGAGGAGGGGATAGGTGGGAGGAAGAACAGGTTAGGGAGGCGGGGACGAGCTGGACTGGTTTTGGGATGCGGTAGGGTGAGGGGAGATTTTGAAGCTTGTGAAATCCACAGTGATACCATTGGGCTACTTGTCTTTAACAACAAGCCACCAATTGAAAACTCTTTTCATTAAGAGAGTTTGTGGTGTTATGACTAGAGATTAAATCATATCCTCATATCCTTGAGTATCCAATTAAAGATTTTCCAAATATAATCATACAGCATGGAAACAGACCCTTCAGTCCAACCAGTCCGTACCGAACATCATCTCAAACTAAACTAGAGCCATCTGCCTGCAACAAAGAATCTGTGTTTATAATGATTTCAATTCTCGTTAGCACACCTTTCTTAGTTACACCATTCTCTAACTAAAATGTAGCTTACTATATTTTTCGGAAACAACAATGAGCCAATTGCAAGGTTTTCCTGAGTGAAAGAAAGAGCATTTAATATCCCATAACAACGATAGAAGTCCCCTTGTTGTCACTTTCCACCCCATCAGTTTCCACATTCAAAAGATCATCTTCCGTCATTCCTGCCACCTCCAGCAGGATACCACCAACAAATACATCTTCCGTTCCTTCCACTATCAGCAATCCACAGGGTCCATTCCCCCGTGACACTCTGGTTCACTCCTCCATCACTCTTAACACTACCCCATTCCCCCATGGTGTTTTCACATGCAACCGCAGAATACCTGCCCATTCATATCCTCCTTCTTTGCTGTCCAAGGCCCCAACTCCCAGCTGAAGCAATGTTTTACCTGCATTTCTTTCAATCTGGTCTACCAACCTCGTTGCTCACAACATGGTTTCCTCCACATTACTGAAACCAAGGACAGACTGAATGACCACTTTGCGGAACACCTCCTCACTTTCCATAGGAATGACTCCAGCCTTCCAGTTGCTTGTTATTTCAAGAAAACACCTCACTCCCGTGCTATCATTTCTACCGTTGGCTCGCTGCACTGTTCCGATGAAGCTCAACGCATGCTGGAGGAACAAGAGCTCATTTTCCACTGTGGCACTTTACAGCCTCTCAGACAAATCATTGAGTTCCGCAACTTCAGAGTACGACATCTGTACTCCATTTCTCTTAAATCCCCCACACTTCCCGGTGGCCATCTCTTGATTAAGCCCAGTTGGCTTTGCTGTCAACACAGCAGACCCATTTTCTCCCTTTAACAGGTAACATTTTAACATGTTTTTACATATCCATCTCTCTTTTCTGAACCACTGTTGCTGCCTTTGTCTTTTGCTCTGGGCACCCTCATGATCTGTCCTACTCTCTCCTCCTTCCCCTCTGTCCACATCATCAAAACCATCATTTTCCAGCTCGTTTCGATTCCAGTCAGACTGGACACAAAATGTTAACTCTGTCTCTGCTTCCACAGATGCTGCCAGACCCACTGAGTTGACTGTCATAGAGTTATACAGCATGGAAACAGACCCTTCAGGCCAACTCATCCACGCCAACTTCTTCAGCA